GCTACTAGCTGGGCCAAGGAATTCCCCCAATCCTTTTCCGATCTCCAAATAAGCACCTAAGGATCCTAAGGGCTGCAACAGACGGTCAAAAAAATACATCCAAAAGCATTACGTAAGCCTTTTGAACGTTCACGGCATGGCCTAGAACATCTTCGAAGCATTTGAATGAAACACTTCAAATTTCATGTGAGTCCTTAGTCACAGTCTTTGGGCCAATGTCTTGATGAGATGCATAATGAATAATGGTTCAATTGGACAAAAAGCGACTTGGGCAAGTAGGGCAGCAAAACTTCAATACTTCTGCGCAATTCCGTGCCAAGCAGTGTACCATAAGAGTAGAACAGCCATGAACAGCATACAGTCGTATAGAATCATATACAGTCCACATATATAATTGATTATAGATTGCCTGGTAAGGACTGGGGTTCAGAAATCGAAATCCAAAGCACTTGGTTCATTGTCCGTGCCCACAATGACGGTGTGCAGAATCGCAAAGGTGAGACCAATCGCGTTGACCCCCACCACAATGAAGCCAGAAGCGTTCATTCCTCACGAGGCTAAGCATGTGTCATCCTTCTCACATCTTCTCACCATAGAAAACGCTCCATTATAATGTGAATACTGGCAAGCACACAACTGAAAAAAAGAGTGAAAAAGCATGAAAAAGCGATGTGCAAAAAAGAAGACCATCTGGTCAATCTCGAAAACCTTATGTGCCTCCAACCGGGACTCCCGGACTCCCCACGGCGCTACGGATCGAGTTACCTTGCGAACACGAAGACTTCGTTGGAACGGCACTCGTTGGACTCTGCAGACCGAGCATCGTTCGTTATAATCACTGGTCAGTTCGGGCAACAAGGCGCTCATTTGCACCCTCACCGAAGTGAGCCCTACAGAGACTGACATAAACGCCAGGGTGTAGTAAAGCCTGGCGTTGATGCGGAAGTAGGAGATCAATGGGCAAAACGTTGGGTCATAGTGGGCAACACTCGATCCCCACATGGTGCGAACATGTGCGAACCAAAGGTTTTGGGTCTTGTACGTCATGCTGGATTTCTTGCAGTCCCCGCATGGATCTTGGTGCTTTCATGACTGATTGCACACTCGGGAACTGCCGATCATAGCTCACATGCTCTGAAGATTGTTGAAGTCCGGAAAAGGAGCAGTGTGTCTAACACAGTTTCGGGATTCCCTGCGGTCCGCTAAAGCCAGGCCAGGCCAAAGGAACTACGGTAAATCTCTTGTTCTGTAAGTCCTGCAATTCAAAAAAATTGCACCCGCAGGCCGCAGTAGCAATCTCAAACTGGTTTCGGTGGATGATACATTATCATATATTGCATTCATGATCATTGATGTCAACTGAACTCTCTGATCAAAAAACCGTCGAGTCTCTGGTCAACTCACCGCTGCCGCGCTGGCGCTTCCGCGTTGCGCAGTCGCGGCTGTCGGAGCCATGGCACATTTTGAGTCCTTGAGGTGTGCGAAGTGGAAGAGTGTTCCAAACCTCGGGACATCGAGGCCGACATCGACTTCCCGCTCCAACGCCAGATGCCCCAAGCATCCAATGTACATAAACTCTTGATGAATAAACGCCCCATGTAGATTCAAGGGAATGGAGAGGGTTCTTCATCAAGAGTCTACGAACATCGCTTTAGGAAGGCTGCGCCTGTTCCCTTCCGCTCCCCGAACAGCCAAGCCACTGCGACGTAGGCGGCAGCAAGGAAGGGGCCACCGAACAGCAGCCAGGGGCGTCGGCGACCTCAAACTAAAAAGGTGCCAGGTCCTGCATAGTCTGAGTCGTTGTGTGTCAGAAGAAATGACCAAGTTATATGAACATCAGCCACATGCACTGAAACATAATGTACCTGGCTTCTGAAAGCAGGACGTGCCATACTGTTTGTCACTGTTTGTTTTGTAAGTACAAGGAAGGCCGGACACATGAGTGCGAAGAATGGACCTTGACGCCATGATCGCTGCTTCGAAAAGTGGATGACCTTGTGAAGGCCAAGGTGCCCCATCGAGTGTTTGTCTTGTCAGAGAGCGCTCCAATCAGTGTATCGTTAAATGCATCAAAAAGTCCAACCTAGGTATCGTGACTGCGCAAGCTCCCAATTTGCTGCATGGAGACAAGTGCTGCACAAGACACTCACAGATTGCCTCCATGCCTTCTAAACCCTAGGGCCTAGGTCACAGCCGCCTAGGAGCTGCTAACACTCCAAAGTGGTGCTACCCCAATAGAGATTTCTTTCAATCCATTCCCTTGTCTTGTTACCTCCTAAGCACCAGTCAAACTATCAGTAACAAAGTTAACTTGGTGCCAAGCCACTCCAAGCTGAATGAGGCCGACGAGTGCGGGCTCAATACAGCAAGTCTCCAGGAAGAACTTGTTGAGGTAGTAGCCACCAACTGTAATCCAAATTCCTGCTGGAACTTCTCGTGGAGTTCAAAGTCTGTGCATTTGACATCGAAACTCAATCTCTCGGGCAGTTTTGTCTGAAAACCACACAATATATTATGCAGCATGCCAACCGACCTTCAACACTCTGACCCAAAGCAAGTAGAATCCTCGGCTATGCTGACATGAGCTGACTGATGGAGGAAATGCTGACATTGGAGGACTGTCAAACAAACGGGTCAAGGAACCGTTTTATTTATTTATATATACATATATATGTTCGAAAGGGACGTTTGGAAATTACTTGGCATGGAAGGGCCGACAAAAGGATCAAACAAGGCAAACACGCTGGAATGACATATCCGCACCCCGATTGAACAGCTGAAATTTGAGACGCTTGAACACCGCTCTGTTCCAGGGAGCTTTGTCTTCAAAGAAAGCTTTTCTTCATCTACTGTCATGGCAGCGAATCCAAGTGATTGACAGTGACAGGTACTAAAACGACACGTCTTTGATTTTGGTGCTATGGTACTTGCTTGAGATATTCTCCAAAGACAATGAAAAATGGTCTAGCTGTCTAGCTCTTCATTCAGGGCCTAGGGATTTTTGGAGTTGAACATCTGTACCTTGATCCGAAAGATGGTCACCGGACATACACATGTCATATCATGTCATGATATCTCCGCGCTCGATTAGCCCGTATCATCTTCCTTCGACAGTACTGTGTTGTTTGTACTGCTCTCCTGTGCTGACAATGCGATATAAAATCACATACTTGACAGGAAAGCATATAGTATGTGTTGATGTGCTTTGATATTCAATGACAGTGATGCATCTCTTTATACCAACGCTGGAATATGCCTGCACAAAATAGTTTCACAAAAACAGCTTGTGCACTGAAAACGGAAAGCGGGCCTCCAGCTTCTTTAGCACAGGCTGATACCATTCATGCCTGGACACATCTGTTCACAAAAACAGAGGAGTTCGTCTCCGTTCACCATCAGATCTGCCCTCCCAGGGTCCAGGACTTCTGCATAAAAGGGTCTCAAGAGAACTTGTGTCTGTTCAGAAGGAGGAATGAAGAGAGGTGAGGTGACAGTCCAGATGCACTGCTTCACCGGTGCGTTCAAGCACGAATAGTTCCTGACAACTTTGAGTGCTGTGAGTCCGTCAAATCTCAGGTGTTTTGAAGGCTCGGCTTCAGGTACCTTCGTGACCCCGTTCTTCAGCTCTACGATGCTGGGATTCCCCTCCTCTTACCAGAATGACACGCGCCTCAAGGGTCGTTGCACGCCGAAACCAAAATGCCCAGGTGTGGTGTCCAGGATCAATTGAGCGCAGATCGCCGCAGTGACGCCCACCTCGGCTGGGCTCCGCCCACGGAGATGGGAGCTGGGAGACTTGCACCAAAGCACTGAATTAGATTTGGGGGGAAGATCTTCAGGAAATCCCTGAACACCATGGTTTCCTATAGATTCGTTTCTTTCACCTAATCCGTTGAACAATTTGGAGCTTAGCATGTCAAACACCTCGGCCGCAAAGTCAGACAAAGTTTGGCCATCAAGACTCTGCTATACCGACTATATGGCGTTGAGCGAAATGCATTGAATAATAGGCGCAACTTCTTGCATACAATCCAACCCAGTCAGTTGTGGTTGACTTGGAAACAAAAACTTTATGTTGATTCGCCATTGCAGAATACGTGTTTCCTATTCAAAGCTTGAAGCCGTTCATCAGCAACAAGACAAATCTACCACTGACTGCAAAACACAAGCAGAAACAGAAACAAAACGGCCAGCGCTAGGCCCTTCGCTGTCTTGGCCATTGCAGTTTCATGTGGCTCACCATATTGGATCTGGGCCACAAAATCCGATGGAGTCTGAAATGTCCAAACGCTGTGAGGAAAGGATTATTCAAAAGATGATAAAGCGGCTTTTTTTGCACGTGCAGCGTCCGGTTTCGGGCGGATTGCCGGAAATTTCTGCGAAAAGGGACATGCGGAGGCGGGCGGATACTGTTGAGGAAGCGACACACTGGAAGCGACACACTGTCTTGTTCTTTTTTCAGTAACACGAGAACCTGTCGACTGGTGCCACAATCTTGTATCAGTTCCTTCCTGGGCGAAAGTCAAAGCACATCAAGACTCCTTGTGTGGTGCATTGTCATTATCAATAGATCTGATCTGATGCTGCCTTCATTTTTCTTGAGTTCAATGTCGTCGATAACTATAACCTATCAACTCTATCAACCCCTTAAAGAATGCCCTGGAATAGGCTACCATGCAAATCCTACAACATGCAGTTTCGTGACGCCCATCGAATCCAACATGACCAACATGACGACCAACCTCACGTTCGGGGAGTCACAGCGAAGCTCTGAGTGCCGACCAGAGTGGAGATCTGCCGTTCCATGGCGCCGTCGTTGCGCCGGAGATCCAACTCGTGGCCTCAAGAATCATGATGAAGAACGACGTTCATGTGCGTTCTTGATCTTTTCTACCTTTTGTCTAAAAGAATCCTGATCATATGATATATTATGATATCATATGTCCTTCTCTACAAAGAGATGCATTCTCTAAAAGAGTCCGACTCAAAAGAACTCTGCCCTTGCCGCACCACCTGGGCGCGGTGCGCATCACCACCAAATCGCGTTCCTGGCACAAGTCCAGGTGCCCCCCTGGTGGCCTGTGTGACTGTTGGCGGCTGAAACGAACCGACCACTGACCATCGGGCGTCAATTTTGGCTCGCCGCCAAGTCTGCTCAACGTCGCCAACTTTGGGAGCCTTCTCAGAGGCTCTCTGCGCGACCCGATCCGGCATTAGCACCCATCAGGCACCTTATCTTTCGCAGGCACCTTGTCTTCCAAAGCCTCTTTACTTTCCTTGGAGGTCTTGAAGGTCGGGGCTGTGCAAACTCTGTTTAATGCTCCATCAATCATGAGAAATTCAACAAAAAGCTTCTGGCATCAAGTTCTGTTCAGTTTCTCTCTTGGTTTTCGCTTGTTTACAGCTGACTCTGAAAGATTCCATCAGCTCCTTGGCCAAGTGGGCCACGTCTCGATCTGAATGCCGCTTCAACGACTTCACCACCGGAAGCAACTTGGTGTCCGTCAGCTTCGATTGCAGCTCATCCCAGGAAGCCACCGACCGGAGACCCTTCAGGACTGGCAGGGCCTCTGGGGAGAACACACCGGAGACCTCTTCACACCGTCTGTTCGGTGAATAAGGTGAAAACATACATCTTCAAAGCTTTATGCCAAAAAAATGTATGACAATTGTAGTGTAATCAGACTCTTGGTATATCACCCTACATCTCGATATAGTATGTGTCTTGAATATATGTACTTGCAAAAAGGTATTCCAAGCAAACGGTGTACATCTCTCTGTGTCAGATTCAAAGGGAAGCTAAACAAAAACACACAAAGCACGCCAGTAACACTTCCAAGTTGCTTACGAACAAACACGCAAGACTTCGCTCAATTCAAACTTATCGTGGAAGGTGTGGAGTTGAAATGACACGTTTATCTTCGCACCTGCGACGGCGGGGGCTTCACCAAAACATCAACATCCTTTGAGTCCATGCCAAAAGGAGCAAGGATTCGAGCGGCCATGAGGAGATCGCTGTTACCTGCGATCAGTGATTCGACCCAAGAGTCGTGTTTGATTGGACATTAGACAAACTCAACAGCTCTTGCACGGATGGAACCAACCGCAAAATCAGCCTTCAAGAGGCAAATTCATGCATGCAAGAATGAAATTGATCGACGAAAGCTCGCTATGGACTCTCCCGCAACCCGTCTTTCCTGCATCGTCTTCAAGGCTCATGATGTCGGATTCCTACGGAGTGAAAGGAGAACGGCTCCACGCAGCTTGAATTGGCAAGAATTGCCGTGACCCCTGCCGGCTCTGGACATATCACTACTAGTAACAAGAAGCATCAAGAAACTACTAGGAACAAAGGGCATCGCTACTAGGAGCAAGGATGCTACTAGTAGTTCCTAGCCTTACTACTAGTAACAAGAAGCTACTAGTAACAAACACTTCTTGGTCCTAAAGTTTGCAAAAAGAAGGAAGACCCATTTTGTTTCGTTCACTGGCTGAAGCAGTCACATGTCCTCATCGATGAGCGCCGCCGTCTTGTTTCCAGCACTCATCTTTCTTTCCTGCAGGGAACGATATGAACCCAATGTTGCACATGGAATGTCACGGCAACTTGACTGTTAGCACTTCAATGCGCTGCCGAGGCAAAAAGGAATATCACCGGCCTTCTGACACTCACAGACCTTTGCATTGGGTTTTTCCTCCCCATCCTTTCCTTTGCCTCTTTTCTTTTCCCCCTCCTGGCAGCGATGTCAAATGCATTTCAAGAGCACTTCGTGCGCCATCATAGGTGTAGAAATAAAGCCAATGTCTGATTTGTCCCTCATTTTTTACCTAGTCTTTTTCCCAGTGTACACCAGATAGTCTATGAGTGGTTCACCGGCTGAGTCTTGACCCAAGGATGTGTAAAATGGGTACAAGTTCCAAGTTCCAAGCCATGGATTTTTTCCACATGAAAACCGAGCCTTGGCGGCAAACGCAGTCTTCAGGATTTGGAAATGGCGATGTTTCTTTTCGGGGAACTGCTCTCCAAAGCGCTTCCTGGGCATGATGCAAAACCAAGCGTAGACGCATCACATGAGGCAGTTCGCAGGAAAACCCACTGCAAGAAGGAATCAGTCACATGAATCATACAAAAATAAGGAGGAGTGAAAGCAACATGGTCAAGCTGGCCTCGCTTGGTTTGCACCAGTATGAAAGGGTGTGAACGAGTTGGGAACCCTGAATGGTCGCGTTCTTCTACTTTCACCTTGGGTCTTGGAGAAATTCTTTGTAGACAAGAACGTGTTTGCTACCTCTTAGTATCACGTACTATTAGACTTCGCGTGAAGGCAGGGAGTTAGGACCTATATATTCAAATCCAGCGCTCAGGCAGCCCCGCCCAAGAATACTGCTGATGATGTATTTTCTCTCAATAGGTAGATAGATAGATAGATAGATAGGTAGATAGATAGACAGAAAGATTGAAAGAGAGATAGATAGATAGATAGATACATAAATAGATAGATAGATAGATAGACAGATAGATACATAGGTAGATAGGTAGATAGATAGAGATAGATAGATAGATATTCAAAGATAGGTACAGATAGATAGATATAGAAAGATAGATAGATAGAGATAGAGAGATAGAGAGATAGACAGATAGATAGGTAGATAGATAGATAGATAGACAGATAGAGAGATAGATAGAGAGAGAGAGAGAGAGACAGCCAGCCAGCCAGCCAGCCAGCCAGCCAGCCAGCCAGCCACAGACAGACAGACAGACAGACAGACAGACAGACAGACAGACAGACAGACAGACAGACAGACAGACAGACAGACAGACAGACAGACAGACGACAGACAGACAGACAGACAGACAGGCAGGCAGGCAGGCAGGCAGGCAGGCAGGCAGGCAGGCAGACAGACAGACAGACAGACAGACAGACACACAGACACACAGACACACAGACACACAGACACACAGACACAGACACAGACACAGACAGACACAGACAGACACAGACACACAGACACAGACAGACACAGACACACACAGACACAGACACACAGACACAGACACACAGACACACAGACACAGACACACAGACAGACAGACACAGACACACAGACAGA